AAGAATCATAGATGAATGTTATTGTGTATAATACAAGCCTGAGAACAGAAACTGTAGTCTACACTTCAGCTCTACACCGAAGCGAAGTGAGGGCGGGCCGCTAGTTAATTATAAATTTCTATCTAAGATCAACGCAACAACATGGTGCAATAAAGGATTTGAACTACTACGGGGTAGGCGGATCAAACGCTGGTTTGCAACCCTTTTCCAATAGAAAAACCATTAAAGCCAAGAAGACCAATTTCTCCCTGAGGGTCGCACGTTTGGAGTCTCGCCACGACGTGAATTTTAATTCATTTGTGGTGAGAGTGCCGACGGAACATCTGGCGACCTTTTTGAAAGAGGAGCTTTGGCCGAAAGGTGTGGTGTTCCGGCGTTTCAAAGGCAGGCTACCTGACACCACTCCGCGCCACACGTCGCCGACTAAACGTGTTATTTAGAATTTATTTTGTTATTATTTTATATTTCATATCTATGTTAGACTATAAGGTATATATTTCTATGGGCCTAAGATGCCTGAATACAAATAAATAAATAAAAAAAAAAAATTAAAGCGGTTCCAAATTGTTTTGTTTACCACAGTTTTATGGTCACTTATCTGTCTGTCTGTGGGTACTCCGATTACGGATCATAACCGTACTCCATATGACGTCAGCCGCCATGATTTACGGCTGCGATCTGTCATGTGCAATTCGCGACCACAACGACATTGACTTTGAACTTGCCAAAATGACGGAAGTGGGGTTTGGGCTGGAATTGGCCGGGCCCCGCTGTGCCAACGTCCATTTCAATGTTAAAAGTCGACACAGACCGGCGATTTTCTGTCGCCACTCGTCTGTCTTCCGATTTCACGTATTTTGGTTATGAAGAACTAGAGGTCGCCCGCGACTTCGTCTGCGTTAACTTAGTTTCTTGAAAATCCCTCTGGAATCTAACATTTTTTCGGGATAAAAGTAGCCTATGTGTTAATCTAGAGTGTCAGCTAACTCCATACCAAATTTTATTAAAATCGCTCCAGCTGTTTAGACGTGAAGAAGTAACAAACATACACACTCACAAACTTTCGCTTTTATAATATAAGTGTGATAATGTAAGTGTGATAAATTACATGAATATCATCAATATACACACAGAGTCGTGTCTTGGAACAGGTAGGGACATTCAAACGCAACATGGCATGGTCTACCAATGACCGATTTCATTTACTTTCGAAATAAATAAAATGATGAAAATGCAATTCTCATGTATCTTTATTGATTTCGACGTAAAAATCTGTTAATAAGTCGCCAAATCGTTCTACGGAAAGTTGCGCGTCTACGCCCACTTTGACGGCAGAAAAAGCCTAAAGAAGTTTCACTTCAAAAACATTTTGTACTTACTCTACGGCAAATGTTATTATGTATAATGCGATTCAACTAAAAATAGGGCCGACTGGACGCCATATTGTGACGTCATAGTTGTCAATTCCAACAAATTAGGTAGAGTGAGCAAAAAAGGTTTTGTTTAATAAAACTTATTTACCAAGATTAAGTGAGAAAAAACATTAATCAGAATCTAGCTCTTTAATTGCGCTCATCTCTGCACTACCGTCGGAGTAATAATTAAACAAAAATCAAAATACAATATCGATTAAACGACAACTTTATTTTAAACGGTCTTTTTATTACCTGTATTTATAATAAAACTAAAGTTCTTATATTTCCCTTTTCCAGTACACATTTTCTGTCTGTTTCATATGATTTATCTCCCACTTTTTTTTACAAATGTTTGGTATTTATTCTAAGATTAGGTCAGTGCTAAAAACAGTGTCCCAAGATTTATAATATAACAATAATAATAATTTATAACATAAAAATATGGTATAAAAGGTATTTGATTATTCTCATGTCTCACATATTTTACTGTTAAACACCATGCTACAGTTTTTAAATCAAATTAAAATTAAAGTGTAATGTTAAGCTTATCAGTATCATGCCAAGGTCATTTTATAATCAATCTTATACAATGTCAAATAAATATAAAATTATTCATCAAAATGTAATAAATAGATGTCCAATGTTCAAAATCAGTTTTTCTCACAATGTCGATTCATAATAAAATTAACAATTAAAATGTAAAATAATAAATGTCTAATATTTGCTTTCAGGATCCTCCAGTAATCAGTATCGTACAATGAATGTCAAACAAATTAAATAAATCATCAAAATAATTATAATACATGTCCAAAATCTACATTTCATTTATTGAAGTCCATTCAGCCTAATTATCCTCAAAACACTCTGCAAGTGTATAATAGCATTTCTCAATTAATAATTTATATAAACGACGTCTGAATAAGGACATAGGTAATGACTTTAATGGCTCAGGCAAATTGTTATATATTTTCACGGACTTTGTAAAGCTATTTCTTTGCAAACTGCCCTTTTCAAGCGAAATTTGACAGATGAAGTCATTGGCTTTCCTATTCTTATTTAAATCGTATAGTAAGTCGCCAAATCGTTCTACGGAAAGTTGCGCGTCTGCACCCACTCGACCGCTACTTACTGCCGAGCAATCTGGGAAGCAGTTCGTCACTTACGAGCACTCTTATCTTGTCGTCCGGATTGAGTGATTTGTAGCAGCTTCGTTTTATGTAGGTATCATTGAGTGCGATCGTTGGCACGATGATGATGAAGAGAAGACTCCGTAAGCTTCTTCGCTTTAAACGAAATTATTTTGTTTGGTTAAAAATTTTTGCTTAGATATTAAAATTAAAGTGACAGCGGAAAAGTTAAATCAAAGAATAGAATAGAATAGAATATTCTTTATTTGCATTAAATAGGGTTGACAAAAGGTGTTTGCTTATAAAGCATATGTTAAAAGCTAAGAATCTTAAACCTATTTAGCCATATCAATAGCATCCAAAAAATCTATTATATTAAAACATAACAGTCATATTAAATTAACCTATCATTCATTTAATAGCAAGTATTTTATCATTATAATTTAAATTCAAATTTATGTCAATATTAACTACAATTCTCAATGTCAGTTCAAGATTAAAATATTTTATGTCAATTTAGTGTGATATACCCATAATAACAAAATTTGTCAGTATGATAATTTAAGATTATTATTCAATTCAATGTCAATATTAATTACGATTCCTGATGTCAATCCAAAGTAATATTCATGTCAGTATATTATATGCATTCAAAACTTAGTAACTTTACAGAAACGACGATCCATTTTTTTCACAAAATAAACATAACTCGCTTAAGCGAAAATGATTTAGCCCGCCATAGAGTTTTTGTCAAGCAAACATCAAATTGTGCGCCAAGTATAGGGCGTACGTATTGATAATCGCTTTAGCGTTGTGAACAATAAAATTTGCAAAAAAATGACTTGGTTAAGCGCCAAAGAAAGTACTTAAATCTTCATAAAGCATAAACGTATCGACGCAGATTTTTTTTTATTACAATGACATTATAAACATGCATGCAAAAATAATTACCACACTTTTAAAATATTGCAATAAATTTTTAAATAAAAAGGAGTCGAAAAAGAGTTTAATTTTTTACTACAGTTTCAAAGAAAGTCTGTTAAATTTGCTATTAAAGGTTAAACCTATTAAAGGTTAAATAAAACCAGTTTATTACGGGTTAATGCACGTGACCGTGATAATAAACTGGTTTTATTTAATGAGTGATGTGCGTGAAAACCTAAGAAACTATTAAAGGTTTTTTATTCTAAATCTGAAACTACTATAGTTTAGAAAAAATATGAATTTTAAAATTGTATGTCTTATTTTTGCAATCCGGTGTGTAACTCATTTTCGATCAAAGTGGCGTATAAGCGGTTTTTCCTTTTCACTGTCAATAATAACTCGTAATAATAGTGTTTCTCTTCGCTTCGCTGCGATGTAGTCTAAAGGGATTGTTCACATCAGGCTTGTATTATACAGCTAGACCTTCCGTGAAAAACTATATAATTGATACTGAAAGCCGCATCAGAACCTCTCGCGTGATTTAGAAAGTTTTTTTTGACTATGTAAATAAAACTACTTAGAACACGAAAATATCTCAAAAAAAAACAAAAATAATAAAATTTAATCCGCCTTTAAATGTGAAAGTAAGTTTGTGTCCATTTCGCCCTAGGATAAATAAGCCCCTGTTTAGCACAAAAACTCATTCGAAACCACAACGACAGTTTCAGTTTTCCAAACCGACCTCTACAGAGCTGTCCACCTGGGTGTTTTTTTTTGAGTGTTTATGCTGTTGGTCGCAGATGACCTTTACAGCGTCACCAGGTTTGGGGACGGCGAGATCCTAAGGGGACTCAAGCCGAGAATTGGAAGGTGCCTCTAGAGGTATTTCAGGCGGATGGCATCTTCCCACGGGGGGAGTCTTCTCTCCGTCTGGAGCCTCTAGACCACTCGAACCTGAGGGGGTCGGCTCAACTAGAGGGCGTCTCTGAGACTCGGACCTCGGCTCTAGTTTGCCGCTGTCGTGATCTTTTTACAGACGACGGCGCCTTTAAGAGGCACACCGCCGAACGGACCTCACACCTGGCTCCCGCAAGTCTTACGGACCCCCCAGTGGCTGACCACCGCGGACCCCGCAACTCTTACGGGCGCTTTACGGCATAATATCCGCTAAAAAAGTCCTGCGAATACCTTATACACTGCTTTATGCGAAGCCGCGGGGTCCCCGTTTAGGGATTCTTCCGCGACTCCGCACCCAGCAGCTTCCCGGCCTCGCCGGGGCTCCACGGCAGGGGTCTCCCGAGGTATTACGGGGACCCCGCAGACGTGCGCAGGATGGCCGGCGCGTGGGGGCTGAATACGCGGCCTAGTGCCCACCGAATCGCCCCCCGTCCGCTGCGAAGGGCTACTCGGGCGCACCCATGTAGCTCCCTCCGCCGCCCCACCTTTGTAGGACAGAACTACAAGGGGGGCAAACGTGGGGGGACCTGGGTGATCAAATCGACCTACAGTACTAATCTTAATATTTTCTTTCCAGTATTGGTGCTGATAGGGTTGTTCGAGCTGGGCGTGATCCCGTGCTACCGTGCCGGGTTCTTCTGCAACGATCCTTCGCTATCGTTCCCCTACAGGGGGGACACAGTCAGCACTGTCGTACTGGTGGTTACCATATTCTTGGCGCCTCTCATAGTGGTAAGTGGCTTATGTGTCAAAGTTAGACTGGTACAGAAATACAAATATGTGCTTGTTGTTTAATTCATCATTAATCTTTAATGTTTTTTGACGACCTCCGTGGCCGAGTGGTTTGTATGCCGGGTTTTAAGATGCCTACTCCAGAGGTTCCGGATTCGAATCCCGGTGTGGCAGATGTTTGTGTGATGAATACGAGCATTTGTACTCCAGTCATGGATGTTAATATGTTTTTCTATACCAATATACTTATACAATGTATCAGTATATGTATTCTATCCGTTACCCTAGTATCCTATAACACAAGTCATTAAACTCATTATCCTTGAAAACTTAGAAGGTGTTTCGGTCAATACAGCAACACTATCATCACCTGGAATAGTCATAGCAATATCTTAGCATCCGTGATGATCTCCCCATATTTTGGACAAACTTAAATAATTTTTATTAAATCTGTTATAAGTAAGTACTTTATCGTCGTCATCATCATCAGCCTATTATATACCCACTTCAGAGGCACAGGCCTTTCCTATGGCCGGAACAGGGAGATTGTGCCATGACCCACCACGCGGGTCCAGTGCTGATTGGCGAGTGTAACGACTACAGATGCAGCCGGGACCAACGGCCTCACGTACCTTCCGAAACCCTGAAGGCACTCAAGATAGTAAAATTTTATCACCCATCCAATGACCGACCACTGCGAATGTTGCTTAACTTCAACGTTCGCAGCCGAACGTGCTAACCACTTACGCCATCAAGCTCCTCATACTGACTCAAACACCATTTCCAGATACTCATCACAGAGCTGATATTCCATGATCAAGAGTACAGCTTCCGCGATATGACGATAGCTTCGACAAAACAAACGTTAAGAGTCTACCGTAACTACGTATACGGGCTGATCTTCAACTTCGCCGTGATTGAGGTGATGAAGGGCATCACTGGCAGCCCGCGGCCCACTTTTTTCGACCTTTGCGAACCTGATACTGGGAAAACATGTAACGGGTGAGGCCTTCCTTACGTTGGTTTTTTTGAAGTGAAACTGCTTAACGCACGCTTGACATGGGGAGTAAGTATCGCTGCACATGAACACACAACGCCACCGGCATATTTATTGTAGTTTTCATACATTTTATATGGACTCGCCACACACGGTACGCCGGAGGCCGCCACACGCTACAAATCGTCGTTGCTCGCTTCTTGTGGCCCGCACCGGCCACTTAATGCGCCGATACAAAACGCCGCCACACGTCACTCGCGCGATTCCCCACCACTCTCTCCCTTACCTTAGTCGGCCGCTGTCGTGCTTCAGCCACTTTAGTAGCCGCTTGTAGCTTCCCGTGCGGCGTTTGTGGCTGTGGCGTGTGGCCCGTGTGCGGTGACACTAAGTTATTGTGAGCGGTCTAATCGATCGGTGATCTAAGCACAGTGCAGGCCTATTGTCTGTACCATAGTGTAGGAGCAACAGAGAGCAGTGCGCGCACTTTCTCTCTTTCGTGTGGTATGACCACACTCGTTTTTTTTATGTCAAATGGTGGTCAACAAGCGTATGGCCCGCCTAATGAAAAGCGACCACCATAGACTATAGACGCTTGCGATACTAAGGTCCGTATTACAGAATGACAACCAAGTGTCGATCTTTACTTGAGTACGGTTAGAAAGGGATGTCGCTATGTGCTATATATAGCGACATCCCTTTCTAACTATGCTCAAGACTAGATCAATCCCTGAGAATCTTTCTATAATACAGGCCTAAAAATATCACTGGCACCGTTGCCAACCCAGACCCTACCCAGCCTTAGAAAGAGATTTGAAGAGAACCTTGCACTTACTCCCTTTCATATACTTGTTCATTTTGTTTTGAAAATTGTTTCTTGCTATTTTGGGACTTTTCTTTACACTTGAAAAATTCGTTGATTGTCTATTGTTACATATTTGACATTATGTGATGAAAGTTGACCTCAACACATGTTTGCAAGTTTGATGTCAACTTTCAATTGGACGACACTGTATGAAATAAAACAGGGAGAAAAAAGCAGCCCTTGCTGAGTTTCTTGCCGGTTCTTCTCAGTACAAGGTCTCCCGCCGTAGATTTGCGAACCGATGGCGTAACTTTTCGACATTCACAAGTGCTTGTAACAGCCTAGACTGAATAAACGATATTGAATTTTGAATTTTTACCCTCAACCCGCGGAGTCCTGGAACCTTACTCGCCGACAGAAACACAACATCACCAATGTTATTTTATTTTACTGTAGTATTCAGTAAGGCGGAAGCTACTTCCCCAGACGGGCGCTCCGATTCGTGCGGTAAATCCGCTATGCCCTACCACTCTCCTTCTTCTTTATTGATACAAATAGCTTACAATGAAATGAATCAATGAATTGTGAAATATGTGAGAAAGTGGAGTATGTGCAACACATTTTAATGGAATGCGTCAAAAATGAAGCGGAAAGGAGACAGCATTCTCCATCCTTAAAATTAATAGGTTTGTAACTGGCATATTGCAGGGCATCCTAGCCAACCCCCTATCGAAGGAGGCTGGTGTGTTTTGCAATATGGCAGCAAAAATTTTATGTAATAGTTAAGTAATTAAATAATTTTAAGAAAATTGTATGGTCAGGTTACGATGGGGCTGGTATGGACATTTTGGTCCAAAAGTTCCTAAAACAAAAAAAAAATCAATGTTTATAAGTATCATTATAATTATATTTATATAGTATAAAACAAAGTCACTCGTGCTGTGTGCACGCTTAGATCTTTTAAACTATAAATAAATGTAGTATAACTCAATTTTCACTAGTTTTCTGCAATAGATACAGTTATTGAAGATGGAAGGTTTATATGTTAATCCCGAGAACAAACCCTATAGTCTACACCGAAGTTATTAGACATAACTAGCAAACCTGTGAACCAAATGTTCTCCAAAAAAAAAATGTATTTAATTAATTGAGAACTTCGGAGATTTTGTGTGGTTTCGTTTGAAATGGAAATCACGTGATTTCTCGAAAACCGGAAGTGCTACGTTACTCAAATCCGGTTTGTAGTCTTATCAGACTATTCTTAACTTATAACTTAAACATTCTCTTTATCTATCTCTTACGGTTTGGCCGCTGAAACAGCACCACGGACGGACGGACGGACTTGTCTATTAGATAAGAGATGTTTCACTTACAATAGAACCTTATCAATCACAAAGTAGTAATTAATTCGGTTCTATTGTAAGTGAATATTTCCGGTAAATTCAGAATCTAAACCTTATTAGTTTACACGTTTATTACCATGGTACAAATAATAATGCTAGACCATTAATGCTGTAAAATAAGGATGCTAGGCCCATACATCCTTTCAAGTAATAAAAAATTATACACGTTTTTTTTTCACTAAACAGGCCCCTGCCAGAATAACAGCGCTGTTGCGACACAATGTCGCATCAGCTAATACTGAGGCAGGATTCTGGTTAGCCTTTTTTTACGAAGGCAAAAAATACTGTTTACAGACGACGCGACGGCGCCTTTAAGAGGCACACCGTCGAACGGACCTCATACCAGGCTCCCGCAAGCCTTACAAGCCCCAGCAGTGGCTACCCACTGAGGACCCCGTAACTCTTACGGGCGTTTTACAGCATAATATACGCTAAAAAACCCTACGAATACCCTCTAAGCTGCTTAGCACGAAGCCGCGGGATCCCCGTTTAGGGATTCTTCCGCGTCTCCGCACAGGGTCCTGGTTAGCCCTGAGATTTTTTAATTTTGTATCTGTAAATGTGTAAATGAGGGTTATTAAAATATATTCTATTCTATAAATAAGCATTATAACACCTGAAGTTGTTCTCAGATCTGAATTCGTCAGCGACTTTGAATGCACTTCCACAAGATTTTCAAAATGGATGCAGAAGGACTCCTATCACAGTTTCCCATCGGGTCACACCTCTTTATCAGTGCACTGCGGACTATTTATAGCCGTGAGTATTCTGGTTCTATATTTAGACGAAGCAATAAAAGCACGCAAACGTAGTTATAAAACTGGATGTGGACATCGACATTTTCAAATAATTCAGGATATAACGATTGTTCAATCCCTCGAAGAACGCTTTCACGCATACATTCTCAGGACACCTCCAAGAATGTTTTCTAGAAACGTATTGTAAATAATAGGATGGTCATAAATATTGGAAACTGGGAATCGGGTATACGTTGCATGATAAATCTCAGGTAACAGGCATAGTATGAAGAGTCACCATAAACTTGGAGGATAACGAAATGGGAAGATACGGCGCTAGTGTTTCGCGAATTCATAATTTGGTTTAAGCACCTAGCACCTAGAGCGCGTTGTTTCATCTGTAGTTAAATTTGAATATAGTTAATGTCACATCTTAAACAATATTAAATGTGTAAAATTTTGACAAATGGTTATTTTTTCTGTAGTATTTTAATTAGAGTAAAATTTTACTATAGATCAAACGACACGACACGTTTTTGGGATATTTTGCGGATTTTGGCATATTTGGGAAAGTTACCAAGTAAAGTGGATTCAATAGGTACGTTTCTATTATTAATTCGTGCAGTGAAAGTAAGGCAAACAGTGCTATTTATACTAATGTAGATATCGAATTATTATCTCTTGCTGTTGTGCCAATATCCTTGTTAAGTAATTATTTTGGCATTATGCAACGGAAAAAGTTTGAGGCAATGATGAACTACCTACGTTATAAAAAACAAGATAAAGCAGTATCTTTCTCGCACAAGAATGCAATTAATATGTTTAACAACTATTTATTAGTAATATAACAAGCTTGCCGTAGGATATGAGACAGATTTAGAGCAAGCAAGCGGCACTCTGTGTCAACAAGTGTCAATAAACGGGCTCACAATTTTCCAGGCCTAAGCTCACAAGAAGGGTAAAAAGTTTCTCGTAAATAAGGAGACCATCATCCATATTATTGTAACTGGTATCGCCGAATTAGTTTCGAGCTTACTCCCAAGTAGTAAATTAAATATCCTTAGCGCGAACCATTATCGAATTCGAATAGGTTGCGAGTCCGAAATGACATTGTCAAATTTTGTATGGAAACTTGAACAGCGGCGCTACAATCGACGCAACGAGAACTAAAAATCAGTTCACATTTGACAATGACATTTCGTACTCGCAAACTATTCGAATTTGATAATGGTTCGTGCTAAGAGCACCCATCTCCTCATCGTCTATATTGCTCTGGTCTGTCACGTAATTTATTTGTGGCACGCGTCCAACCAACCTTCTTTGCATTTTGATATTCATTTCGTTGTGCAGGTCATCTAACTGTTTACCACTTTCTTGGCATTATTGAAAACATAACTCCATTCCCTCAACAGTGGTATCTCCAGAAGCGTGCCTTCGACTGGCGCTTCCGCACAGTATTCGTGGTCCCAATGCTGCAGCTTGTCTGTATGGGATTCATGGCCACGTCTTCGCTGTCCAGGATCACAGACCACAGGCACCACTGGTGGGACGTAGCTGTGGGCTTCGTCATCGGCGTTATCACCTTCTCATACGCGGTTAGTATCAATTTAAATTTTTCCATTACCAACATTTAGTAAATCTTCTTTCTGTTGCAAATGATGTTTGCAAGCATAATTATGTTTTCATATTAGTGTTTGTTTTAATCATACAACATAAAATCTGGCAGTGATAACCATTTCAGTTGGGAAGAACCTTTTTGGGCGACTAGTTTTATTTTTAGACTCATAAAAAAACTTCGGTAATCTTATTTCAAGTTTTATCTCTATGGAACGAATCACAATGATAAAATGTGTCATTAATATAACCCACGAAGCTGGTCCAAAGCCGATTGGTGGGTGCCAGGGACTGTAGTAGCAGCTGGGACCAACGGCTTAACGTGCCTTCCGAAACATGGAGTACTCCAGATAGATAAATATGTCGGATATAGACATATATATATATATTTAATATAGTAAAACTGTTTTTTTTTGTAAAATAAACGTTTTCTTTTCTAGGCTATTGTGCTGAGCAAAGACGGAGCCGCCACCAAAAGAGCTAGTTCAGAATCAATGCAACCATCTCTCAAAACTTTAGTGTTTGACCAAAGGACTATAGAGCCGGCATCACCCTAAGAGTGACTTAATAAACTTTGTGCAGTGGTCGTGTGACTACGAGAAAGATCTTTGGTGACCGAGTGTTATAAAAATTAATGAGTAAAACCAACGAATTAGAAATAATATGGAATACGACCTGTGCTAAAATTCACATTATCTTACCCAATGAGTGGATAGCCGAATTAATTTACAGATATTTGATTGGTCAAACTTAGTATTGAAGTTTAGTTGAAGAGTTTGGGACCATGATTTTGCTTGTATTTTGTTAGAGTCATAATGTTTCCATTATCATTTCTAATTCATTGAGAAAAACACAATCATAAATCAATGCAAATCATAAATCAAATTGTATATAATAGACTAATATTAGAAATCTCGACGTATTTTCATGTATGTATAACTAAAAACATATTAGATTTGATAATCAAACCGTTTAACGCATAAATAAAAATAATTGTATACCTACTGGGTTTCAAGACATTGTGAATTTGTAAACAAAACTGTCTTTAATATGAGTGCCCACTAGAATTAGTAATTGCATTATAATTATGCATTGTCCTGTTATTAATAATAAACATTGATATTGAGTATTACGTGTCAGTAATGTCCCGGATACTAAATTAAGTAATGTTTTATTGTTATTAGTAGTGTTACGTGTGTAAATGATCTTGTCATTCTGTTGATGATATAAATGAAAAGGGAGTAAATAAGACTGCCATAAAATGGCTACAAATAAAAAAATGTAATGAGACAACCAAAAGGTTTTTATTGACAGAAATTTCGAGTTTAGTTAAACAACAACTGTACCCTTAGTACGAGTTTTACAATTACGAAAACTATGATAGTTTTCGTGAGCTCGCACTCGTACTAAGGGTACTGATTTAATTGTTTTCGTTTCAATACAAATAAACAGTGTTTAAATTCTATCATTAAATCATCGTCTTCTTAAATTTTAAGTATATTTGGTTACTTTTCACCAAAATGGACATAGAAACATAATTTACAATTACGAACACTATGATAGTTTTCGTGAGCTCAAACTCGTACTAAGGGTACTAAAAAGATAATAGTTTCCTAGTTGTCCTTTCTGACGCAAATTGGAGAGGAAAAATGGCAAATATATCGTCACAGCGAGCACTAAATGGGAAAAATATCCCTGTCCCTGTCATAAAGTTTTAAATTTTTTGGTGTATTGACGCCTAGTTAATGAATATGGATAATTTTGTATTTGTTATCTATGACGCAAAGTGTCAGGGAAAAGTAGAAATATCATTACACTGAAGACTATTGGGAAAAATATTCCTGTTGTAACCAAATTGGACAATGTCAGAAAGGACGACTGGGAATAAAAGATCATGCCGAAAATATTATGGTGGCATTTTTATATTAATGTTACCATGTTTATGTATACTAAGTTATAGGTATTTTCACGGCTGTACTCAGAAACTCCAATACTTAAGTTTGATTGAAGGTAATGCTTTAACTATCGATAGTAATAGTATCAGGCAACATATCACTTAGATAAGTAGTTTGAATTTAATTTACGTTTCTGGGTTTACTACGTTACTCCAATTTTGTTTAGAAGATCTTCATAAAATAATTATTATTCCTATTAACCAACCAATACGTCATAGTAAAATCCTGTATTGTTATAAATAATTTGTTAGTTAACGGTTATAAAATATTACCTATTCGGGTCACGTCATTGTTTTGTACATGATTCCAATTATTCCATCACTTGGATTTTCAAAAAATAATGGACACACTATTTTTTTGTCAATCAACCAAAATTTGACAAAGATAAAGCACGTCAAAGTTTGGGGGGAGGGGGGGAGGTGGGCTTGTGACGTCACTGCTAAATAAAAATTGCACCAAGGCGTGACGTCATGCGACATTTCAAATCAATACCTATATCCCTGTAATGTTTTGATTATGTGAAAATACGTGTCCAATACTTTTTGATTTAAAAAAATAACTTTAGTCATCAACCCTAATTGCGATGACACAAATTGTAAAAAAATAGTGTGCATGGACCACACATCTGATGTGAAACTTCTTTTCTTTAATAATCTAATATTAGGCGGTGCATAAGGCATAGGGGAATGGAGCAGCGCACGCATCACTCATATATGTACGTGTACGTATATCTAATATATAAAATTCTCGTGACGCGGTGTTTGTGGTTAAACTCCTCCGAAACGGCTTTCCCGATTCTCATGAAATTTTGTGTGCATATTGGATAGGTCTGAGAATCGGACAACATCTATTTTTCATCCCCCTAAATATTAAGGGTAATCCACCCTAAATTTTTTTTTTCAATTATAGATATTTTTTTTTTTTTTTTTGTGATACATCATACAAATATACATAGCACCCTAAATTTTCACCCTTCTACTACCAACCCCTATTTTTTTATCGCGGTACGAAGTTCACTGGGACAGCTAGTAAAAATATAAAAATTGTCGCGTGTGACGCTCGTAGCCTTTCAGCCTTCGCCGAGTTACCCTCCAAGCCTCATGCTCCTCGGGAAGAGCTGCGCACGTATCCCACACACACACACATATATATATATATATATTATATATTTATAGTCGTGTGACGCTCTTGACAAATTTCCGTTTCATCTTTCCATTGGATTTTTCCAATTACGTCCGTCCGAAAAGAGGATTCACTTCACATATTTAATATCATTATTATTATTCTGTGATACTTATAGTGAATGTAATAGTAAAAACTAATTATTTATAATAATAAGAATGCAATTAATGTTGACTCAAATAATTGCGTTCAAATTGCCGTAAGTTATTTTTGTAATACGAAAGAAATTATGTTAATTTTATTTTTTTGAAACTTATTATACTGACTTACCTTAACATTGAAAGTTATTTTTATTTATCACTTTTTAATTGACACGTATATTTATATGATCATTAAAAACATTAATTCATCCTCAAAAACACAATAATTGGTAACCTAATTTAGCCTTTACGTAATCATTTATATAATTAATTGTTTGGGATCATTATAAATTCCCTTTTTATTTTCTATAATGCCTAGTCAGGTCATAAATTCTGTCACATGTTTAATATAAAATAATTGAAACAAGTTTATTGATTATGTAACCATTTATATACCAAAATGTACTTAACAAAACATAGATTCTTATGACAATAAAGTTTATTCAAAATGACTTCCGTGATTTTGAATACAGGCCTTCAATCTGCGCGGCCAGTCGTCTATGGGTGCGGCCAGAGTGCACTCAGATTCAGATTCAGATTCAGATTTCGAAAACAAGCGCGAGAAATATACAGTGTAGTCTAAGCAGGTTGCCTGCTTTTTCTCGCGCTTTCTTTTCTGAGTCTGAATCTGAATCTGAATCAGGAGTGCACTCTGGCCGTACCCTTCGACTACACTGTTTATATCTCGCGCTTATTTTCGGAATCTGCATCTGAATCTGAATCTGAGTGCACTCTGGCCGCACCCTATCGAAGCACGAACGAGGTCCATGTTAATATCGGCGGCTGCACCGATCGAACCAAATGTCAAAATAGGCAGATAGGTTACTGGCACGCTCAAACTGTCATTTTCGAACAGAGGGCTATCTTTAATCCGTGATCCGCCATCCTAAAGATAGATTGGTTTTTTGGATTGCAAATTCAATCCATGGACTGGTTATTGGCATGCTTTACCTCGAAAATAGATTGAAATCTCAATCTCAGATAGCAAAAAATGGATTAGGATTGAATATTAATTTCGGGCGATAATCAAGGATGTCTTGAGTGACTCGAAATTGGGATGAGGCTTTGAGCACGCCTTTTCCTCCAAGTGTTGCAATATCTTGTAATCTAACGGACTCAAATCTGGACTGGAGGAGGGCCAGTCTTCGTGCCGGATGAAGTCGATTTCACGCGCCGAAAGCCAGTCTTGTGTGCTCTTCGCTCTATGAGCTGGCGCCGAATCTTGTTGGAATACCCAGTACCTGTCATTGAACATGGTATGAGAAACAGGTTCCACAAGGTTCGTCAGGACTGTATTTTGATACACAACTGCATTCGTTTTTACACCTTTCTCACAAAAATGTACCTCTGTTAAGCCCCAATAAGAAACTCCCAACCATACCATGAGCGAGGATGGAAAATGACCTCGTTGGACACGCGGAATACTGTCGCTCGCTTCTTCACTGTGTGCGTACACCTTATCATTTTGTTTGTTGTAGCTCTCTTCTACGGTAAAGATTTTTTCATCCGAAAAAAGAATTTCCCGATATTTTTTTCCCGCGTACCACTTCAACATAGCGAGGCATCTCTTCAGTCTCAGGTCCATTAAACCAGCATTCAAACGATGTCCTGTTTTTCTTCGATATGCCCGAAGCCCTAAGTCTTCATTTAACACCCTTTTCACCGTGGTTCTGCTTAACGCCTATCTGAAGGGTCAATAGTTTCTGCTTACGTTTGGGATTTCTTTGAATTCGAGCCTTCATAGCTTTTATCATTTCTGGAGTCCTAACAGACCAAGGGCGACCACTTCTTAACCTGTCATCTACACTAGAGTCTTCATTGTATCGTTTGATGGTACGATAAACGAATCTTTTGGTTATATTCAAAATTTTCAGTATGTCAGAAATTTGAATTTGAATGGTCTTCTTTAAGCGTCCACTCCATATTTAAAAATGAGTAAAATTCTAAAAAGTATACATTTTCATTTTCAACCTTTTTGTGGCCAGCATTCTAAAAGAAAAGTTTTTACTGTGTGACAATACTTATGACCTGACTGTGTACTTGTTGTTTTCTCCTCAACTATTAAGATTCGTCCTTCTTTTCCCTACAATCAAATCACTACACTCAATCACTCTTGAGTGATTGTTTTGTTAGTAGAATTAGAAATACCAGCCAAAACTACTTATTACCTAAAGAAAAGTTTACTAGAAAAAAATCCACGCGGACCAGGCAGCGGACGGGACTCGAACCCGCACCTTTCGCAATCCGGGCGAATGCACTGACCATTATGCGACCACGGCCCTACCAAGCATAATGGTCAGTGCATTCGCCCGGATTGCGAAAGGTGCGGGTTCGAGTCTCGTCCGCTGCCTGGTCCGCGAGGATTTTTTTCTAGTAATTTTTTCTTTAGATTTAAACATCTAGCAGTTAAATGCTTAAAAATAAATTAAAACATACTTATTACCTACTCAAAATAAAGATTAATTGAAACAGGAAAACGCTATGGGTAAAAATCTTAAAAATTTGCGTTACGTAATACTTGAACTTACCTATTTCTCTCAAGCTTTATAAAACACTACACAGCCACAAACGCCGCCACGAGAAGCTAGAAGCGGCTACTAAAGTGGCTGAAGCGCGCGACAGCGGCCGTCTAAGGTAAGGGAGAGAGGTGGGGAAACGCGCGAGTGACGTGTGGCGGCGTTTTGTATCGGTGCGGGCCACAAGGAGCGAGCAACGACGATTTGTAGCGTGTGGCGGCCACCGGCGTACTCTGTGTGGCGAGTCCATATAAAATGTATGA